AAAATATCTTCATGGAACATGATCTTTAATCCCACCAGTCACAATAGTGGTTTTCATTTATAAAGCTCTAAAATCCTTACCAACTGATGTTTTAGTGCACTTCCTGCAAATATGGAAAAAATAAAGGGTCTCAATCAAATATGTGCAGTTTCACATGATTAGTGCAAATTGTCACATGACCAGAGCAGTTTATTTCCTGTTTGCACCTTGAGAAGATGATAACTGCATCAAAGCTCCAAAACGAAAGGCTAGTAAAGTGTTAACTTAAAGATATGACACAGATTTTTGGTACACATTATCTTTAAGATGTCTAGTATTAATATATGAATTCACATATATTCAGTTTTGTTGAATGTGGTCATACAATGAGTAAACATCTTGATGGTCACAATAGTGACCGGTGGGATAACAGTGAACACTCTTAAAAATAAAGGAGCTTAAATGCTTTTTCACAGCGATGCCATAGATTCAGTCAAAGGTTCTTTAAAGAACCATCTCTTTCTTATCTTTTCGTAATCTGAAGACCCTTCTTTTGCCACAAAGAACCTTTTGTGAAACAGAAAGGTTCTTCAGATGTTAAAGGTTCTTTATGGAACCATTTAGACAAAAACGTTCTTCTATGGCATCGTGAAGCACCTTTATTTTTAAGAGTGTACAATATAAATCCAATTGCAGTTGTTAGTGAAAATTACACTAAAATGTTGCAATGACAAAATATTGCACTAAATTAAAAGTTCAAATGTTACAAATAAGTTACAATATTGATGTTGTAATAACGGTAGTACTAATATAAAAATATGATGATATATTTTACAAAAAGTAACAATTTTGAAAAATGTTGAAGGTTGTATTTTGTTGTCTTTTATCTCAGTATTCCTATCAATGTTGTATAAGGGTTTTTTATGCATAATAGTAACCCTAGAATGTGATCAAACAGTTTAAAATAGCTGGGCTGAGATATATAAAAAACGACTGCAGAAATATGTTAATTTAGTACACACATTATCCCACTGGTCACCATAAAACACAATTTTTCACAAAAAAAGTTTCCAAAAAAATGTCATCAAATAATTATTGATTATTTCAAAGGGTTACTAATGACACATCATTTGGATATTTTCATGACTGGGCAAAATTTGGGATATCCTAATGATTTTTGGCATAAAAGAAAAAATTAAAAAATTATCCCATACAATGCTACTTATTACTGGTTTTGTGGTCCAGGGTCACAAATGACCATCTGCTGCATCGATAGTTCGATAGTGAGCATCTCATTCATCTTTTATAACATGCACTGCTTTATAAATAATTATTAATGTGACACATGTGTATGTCTTTAAATATGTTTTTGTGATTATCAAAGATGAGTTTTATGGGATAAAATTAGTGACTGCAGGGGGACTTTAATTTATTATCACTTGCCATATTGAAAATCGGGGCAAAAATCGTGTAAATCTTACAAAGATTTTGTCTCATTTGCATAAACATGTGGACACAATTCATTGTTAGTGAAGGTTTTTGCTTGTAGGATAAAATAAGCAAAACAAAAAAATAATACATTCTGTTCATGTTACATTTTAGTTGATTTATTATTGATTATAGGACCACTGATTTATTAAATGGTTTGTCTCTATGTAAGACCTTCAGACTCACAGTAACATCTTTCTTAGCTGAAGATGATATTAACCTAACACTTTATTATGAACTATGTATTAATGTGATGCAAGTATCTCTCTCAGGATCATTCACAAAAATAAGCCACTGTTCAAACTTTAGACTGTGCTGTTCAACAGTAGTCTGCTTGAAGGATTCCTTTTTTTAAATGTTTAGTTTCGTCATTATTTCTAAAAGACAAAAAACAAAAATTTATTTACACACACTCACAGACAAATTGCAGTTCATAATGTTCTTCAGCACCAAACGAATCACATGCCTTTAAAGTTTAGGCATATTTCTCCCCAAAGGACCTTTTTTTTTTTTTTTGCTGGAAGACTGGACATCTGTGTGCCCACTGACAACACAAAGGGGCAGATAAGGGTCCTTTTGCAATGTGAAGAGAGAAACAGCACTGATATGCCATAGCAGTCTCTTCCTGATGAAGTGTTGGACTTCAAAGCAGATAAAAGTCAGAAAGGCTCTGGACCACTGGTAGATATTGAAGTGCTTTCATGAAATACTGCTAAGGGACTTGTGGGTAATGCCTGTGGAAAAGACTCAATGCAAAGCTGGAGCCCATAATATAGGTTGCTGAATATATACAAGGTCTACGTTAGAGGTCTACTAAATAATACAATATTTGCATTATTAAGATGCAACCAACCTGCTTACCGTGAATTCCTTTTAGACCATTGGTAATAATGCTGGCATTACAAAGGACATTGATTTTTGACCAAACATAGATCCTGCTCTCTGTGGTCAGTGTCATCACAGTAAGGTCACTTTCAAAATCCTTCACACTCGCTGTCTGGAACAAATTACCAACCTTCACCTGGAGATCCATTGATCCATCTTCAAAAAAAAAAAAACTGATTCTCTTCAAGGAGCGCTTTACTAACCAACTAGTGTCTTTGCACTTTTTGCACTTAAAAAGAAGGACAAAATTCTACACATCTGCAGCAGCACTACTCATCCCAATTGGATAGATTGATTCTAGTATAAACTTCATCTGTAAGTCGCTTTACATGAAACCGTCTGCAAAGTATGACCAGTAAAATCTTACTCAAGGTAGATGGCATATTTAAGTAAACATCTTGATGGTCACAATAGTGACCGGTGGGATAACAGTGAACACTCTTAAAAATAAAGGAGCTTAAATGCTTTTTCACAGCGATGCCATAGATTCAGTCAAAGGTTCTTTAAAGAACCATCTCTTTCTTATCTTTTCGTAATCTGAAGACCCTTCTTTTGCCACAAAGAACCTTTTGTGAAACAGAAAGGTTCTTCAGATGTTAAAGGTTCTTTATGGAACCATTTAGACAAAAACGTTCTTCTATGGCATCGTGAAGCACCTTTATTTTTAAGAGTGTACAATATAAATCCAATTGCAGTTGTTAGTGAAAATTACACTAAAATGTTGCAATGACAAAATATTGCACTAAATTAAAAGTTCAAATGTTACAAATAAGTTACAATATTGATGTTGTAATAACGGTAGTACTAATATAAAAATATGATGATATATTTTACAAAAAGTAACAATTTTGAAAAATGTTGAAGGTTGTATTTTGTTGTCTTTTATCTCAGTATTCCTATCAATGTTGTATAAGGGTTTTTTATGCATAATAGTAACCCTAGAATGTGATCAAACAGTTTAAAATAGCTGGGCTGAGATATATAAAAAACGACTGCAGAAATATGTTAATTTAGTACACACATTATCCCACTGGTCACCATAAAACACAATTTTTCACAAAAAAAGTTTCCAAAAAAATGTCATCAAATAATTATTGATTATTTCAAAGGGTTACTAATGACATATCATTTGGATATTTTCATGACTGGGCAAAATTTGGGATATCCTAATGATTTTTGGCATAAAAGAAAAAATTATAATTTTGACCCATACAATGCTACTTATTACTGGTTTTGTGGTCCAGGGTCACAAATGACCATCTGCTGCATCGATAGTGTTTAAAAGTTTGGGTCAGTAAGATTTTTAAAAAGAAATGAATACTTTTATTCAGCAATTAAATGAATCAAAAGTGACAGTAAAACATTAATAACGTTACAGTGATTTTAGTTTCAAATAAATGCTGTTCTTCTGAACTTTCTGTTCATCACAGAATCCTTAAGAAATGATCAGAGTTTCCAAAAAAGCAGGACAAATGTTTTCAACAATTAAAAGCATTATACAACATATAGCTTAAAGAGTGGCATATGCAAATAAATTATACAAAAAAAAAATTCCACAATTAACTTTTCTGAGTCACTTTTACAATTATTTTTTGATTTAAAGGTCATTTTTCGTGGATGTATGAAGTCACTTAACTTTAAGTTCACATAAGTTCATCAAACTGATATATGAAAATGGTTCAACAGAAAAGTTAACCAGAAAGTGTTCAGTAAAAATAGTAATAATGTGAAATATTTTTACAATTTAAAATAACTGTTTTTAATTTTATTCCTGTGATGGCCAAACTGAATATTCAGCAGCCATTAATCCAGTTTTCCATGCCACATGGTCCTTCAGAAGTAATTCCAATATGTTGATTTGAGGTTCAAGAAACATTTCCTATTATTATCAATGTCAAAAACCATTGTGCTATTTAATATGTTTGTGGAAATGATGCTGCATTTTTAGGATTGCTTTTTGAAGCATTTATTTGAAATATAACTTTGTTGTAAGAAAGTCTTTGCTCTCTATGTTGATTAATTCATCACATTATAAAAGTATTAAAAAATGAACCCAAACTTTGTTTGAATGGTAGTGCACATAAAAAGTAATATCATTGTATACAGGCCCAACATTATAATCTTCTGAACATGACAGTGAACACAGGAAGCAATCAGATCTAAATGTTTTCTCCTCAGACTTTATATTGAATACACAATAGGCCCTTTCGCACCGCTTTAGTTCCAGAACTAAATGTACGGTACTAAAGTACTGGGACGATTTTGCGCGAACTATTTCCCAGTACCATTTAAAGGGTTGCATTCGCACCGACAGTGTGTACTAGGAAGTGACGTAAGCCGGTCGACAGCTTCGTCATTTGTGCGCAGCGTTTAACAACAGAAACAAAGAAGAACAACATTAACAACAGGAGGATGGAGGACGCTGTGATCGGAGCTGTGTTTTTGTTGTGTCTCGCGGGTTTCACAATAGTGGACATGGAAAGTCGACGCATAGGTAAAGCGATTGAAAGAACCGAAAGGAGGACTAAGAATCTCCAACAACAACTGGCAGTGCTACATTTGCTACAAGTGCCTGCACTTCAGCGTCCGTCCATCTATCGCTGTTCTCCATACTTGCGAAATAAGTTGACACAATGTTTACAGTATGTTTACACAGCGTTTTAAATCATGGCGTGTGAGGGCGTTTTCATACGGGTTTGGCCAATCAATGTCTACTTACGTCACGATTAGTACCAGTTGTGCTGGTTAGACCCTGCTCCGGAGTAGGAGCTAATTTGGTTCTCGAAAAAGGCAGTCCGGTACTAAAATCGCTCCCAGTTCCGGCGGTGCGAACACGCCGAAAAGTGGGTAGTTCCATAATTAGTTCTGGTACTATGAAAAGGTTCCTGCGGTGCGAAAGGCCCTAATGTCTGGTTCGTACCTTTGACTGATCTCTTTGATCTTTGCAATGCTAGAAAACAATGACTTTCTGTCTCTTGGTGCCAAAGTGTCTTTCAGCACTGAAGATTCTTGAAAATGCTCCACAGCCACCGTCAAGCTCTGAAGATAGGACTGCTCAGTTGTAACAACCTCATACAGATGCTGGTAAAGGGTTGAAGGGATGTGAATGACAGGCAAAGGCAAAGAATTTTGGGAGGAAGTGTGGAGAACATCAGAGAACATAAATATAAAGTAGACATCATGAAAAACAGGTATTATCAATTTATATACACTTTAGGGTACCTCTTGAAGCTTTAGCTGTTCCTTACTGAGCCGGTGTAGTATTCCACTGTCTCTTACAATGTTTCGGGCTTGCCACAAGTTCTCCATTAACTTTGTCTTAGTATCAGCACACATGCAGTTGCAGCTACTCTTAGAAGGGCTTTTGATCAGTTTGTCCACCAAACCAGGAAGAGGCAGCATTGTTGGAGTCCTTTGAGAAGTTTCAAGTACGTTCTTAGAGAGATTCTCCCCATCTGTTTCTTGGTATTTTATCACAGAAGGAACGTCCTCTGGACTCTCTCCATTGGAAACACCTGAGATGGATACATTTTCATGTAGTCGTTCTCCATCGGTCAGTCTTTTGGTGTGAAAGCACAATGAACACATTTCTAACTGAGAGTTACTAAACATTTTGGGAGCGTGATCTCCTTTAGCCTTAAATACTTTGGGCTTTTTGGTGCTACAATCTCTCTCTTTAATTGCTCCTGAGAATCTTTTGTGTAGCTCAGAAACCAAACTTTCCCTGACAAGGTCGCTGAGCAATCCAACTTCATTGTGCTCAATTTTGGTTTTATTGTGGACCCTGAAAGCAGGAATTGGTTTTGACAGAGATGGATGTGGAAGGGGTTTGCCATTGGGACAAACCTCAGAAGCTGAAGAGAACAAGAGAATAATTGCAAGGTAAGATTTAACAATGAAATACTACAACACAGTGATAATGATGGTGAAATTAGAGTACCTTGTCTGTGGGGCAGCATTGGTGAACTGGAGCATTCAGACTGGACTGGTGTTGTGTCTACATCCATATAAACTCCCTCATCAATATCATTCTTTGGTGCTTTGCCAAGAAAAATGGATAACACAAGATCCTCCATTCAGACTGCTGACACATTGGTTCTCAAACAATAAGAAACTTGAAAGTGCTTTATACGCATCTTATGTTTGGCGCCCCAAATACCCTAGTGATTTATATGCAACAATAATTAAAAAATTAAGCTGTTCTGTCTTACATTTATGCATTTAGTAGACACGTTTCTCCTAAACGTTTTAGGTGGTACAAAGGGCCTTGGGGTGTTAGACCCAAAACATGAAGGGTAAAAATGGACTATATGATAGTTGGTATATTTTTGGCTCGAGAGATTCCTGTAAGTCACAAAGCAATGAGAAATCAATTCAAATCATTATGGCAAATTAACACTCACCCATCATGGAGATCATTTGCTCTGGCTCTTTGGGAAGAGGTCTGGCAGGTACAGGTATGCTCGGAGGGACTCGTTTTGATTTATGTGAGGTAGTTTTTGGACGACTGTGCCAGTTTTCCAAATGAGTGTCATTATTCTTTCCATCTGTGGAAACAGTTTGGTGAATGTTTGCCAGTGGTTCACAGATTTCCTCACATTTGCTGTCATGACAGTAGTTTTGCTCAGTCATCGTCTATGAGTTTATGTTTATAAATTGGAATTAGACTTATTCTGTGTGGTGTACCTGAACAAGCTTGGTCTGATGTAGGTGCAACATAATTCATAATGATATTATGGACAGGCTGTGATTGCTTAACATGAATTTGCGTCTTCAGAAGATGAGGTTTTGGGATTGGTTTTATCTTTGGGGGAGCGACCAGACCATGAGTGGCAATTACTTGGCGTGGGTTTTGTGCCGCTGTGGAGTGCTGGGTGGCCTGGCGTTGGTGGTCCTTCTCTTGGACATCTCTCCTCAAAATAAAGTCTGTCGCTCTGTGCCATTTCTCACCCTTAAGCGGAGGTTTAGGGGGACAGTAAGTTTTAGACGCAGGAAAGTTTTGGCATGGATATAGTTCTCTGTATCCATCTGGCCCTGGCATGGCCTTCGGTCGCCTGTAAGGAAGAGCAGATGGGAGCACAATGCTACTTATTACTTGTCAGTGTAAATTTTGTGAGATGATTATAAAAATGTGTGGCTACACTTTATTATAGGGACCAATCCTTACTATTAATTGCTTATTAGCATGCCTATTATTAACATATTGGCTGTTTATTACCCAATACCTAAACAACTACCTTACTTACCATTAATAAGCAGCAAATTAGGAGTTCACTGAGGCAAATGGTGGTTAATGGTTTGTCAATGGCGAGAATTGGACCTTAAAAAAAAGTGTGACCAAATTTGTCTATTTAAGTAATGGAAATTAAAGATCTTTTGATTTTAGAAGTAATTGTGCAATTACATATAAAGATGTGATATAAATTTACACTATAATGCATTTTAATTTAATTGCAAATAGCATGCAATTAAGTTTCTGCACATTCAGTTTGCACAAGTATGTTTTTAAGTATATTATTTCCATAAGAAGTTTTTTTTAATAAGTATGCCAAAGTATACTTCTGCTTCTCAAGAGAAGGTAACTGTATTCCACTACCCGATCATGTCATTTCAAACATGTCTGACTTTCTTCTGTTTTGGTTCCCATTGACTTTCAATGTATGGATAAAATAAAATAAAAAAAAAAACCCACAATTGAAGTCGATAGGAACTAAAACGGTTTTGTTACCCAACATTCTTCAAAATATCTTCTTTTTGTTTTCTGCAGAGGAAAGAAATTCATACAGGTTTGGAACAATATGATGGTATGTTTTAGGTGGACTATCCCATGTGTAAAGGTCCAGACAGAGAGAGAGAGTGATCTGATCTGACTGCACATAAGAGCTCAGACAAACTTGCCTTTTTGTTTGTGCTCTCTGAAAAGTGATGATTCAGCATATTGGCCCAGATGGACTTTAAATGATCTAATTTAAGAAAAAAGAAAAGTAACTTGTTGACACTTGAGGTGTCTGTACACTGAGAGTTAAAATATGTGCTAATACATAACTACAGATTCTCATATACTGAAACATTTTGTGCACTGATAATATGTTTTCTTTAAGTACTTAATGGCTGACAAGTGGGAACATTTTACCTACAACCTACCACACACACACAAGCCCTAATTTCCTTTTTGTGGGCACAGCTGGATCATGTAGTGAAAAGAGCTGTTGTTGGGATTTCCCACTTTTCCCATCTCAGGAGATCCGGTCACACATGTCTCTGCTTGCTGTCAACTCAGCTATACTGTATCATCTAAGACATTCCTACTAAATTGAGTCGAGCAGATAATGTTTCCTTGGCTTTCTGCTAACTAAGTCACCTTTATAATGGAATGTGGAAATTTCCCACTTTTCATAAATGTCACAATGATTGAAAAAGTAGGGAAAACCAATATGCCCAGTAAAAAAAAAAAAAAAAAATCTGTAAAATTTACGGAAAAAAAACGGCAGCCCTGGTTGCTGGAATTTTACCGTAAATAATACAGTAGCAACGTTTTAGGTTTTACGGTTTTAACTTAAATTTACAGTTAAATACCGTAATTAACTGATATAATATTAATATACCAACCTATTGAAGTACTGAAATCTGTTTTGTACCTTTGTAATACACTGATAACCACCACATGCAGGTGGTGATGAGAAAGTCACATGATGAACCAAAGCCCATCACAAGCACCTTTTAAATAATAATATATATAGAAGGTGCACAGTGTCATTCACACAAACACTAAACATTATGGTAACACACATGAAACTGAAATAGTGCAATAAACATTAATTTAACAACATTAGGTGTAACACACAACCCTAATATACAAAACTGATAAGAAAAAACTTAGAGGAAACAGTTATTTCAACATAAAAACATCACATTTGAAATGTAACGCAGGGAATTCTGGGAATGTCAATGTACGGTTATTCACTGTAAATTATACTTTACTTTACTTTACTTTTACTTTTAGTCATTTAGCAGACGCTTTTATCCAAAGCGACTTACAAATGAGAAAAAGTCATTAAAACTAAAAGCTAAAACTCTATAAATACTATATATATATATATATACACACATTTAAGAAAATAAAATAAATTAAATAAAAATGACAAATGCATACAACAACATTTCAAAACTAAAACATTTAAATGAAAACAAAAAAAATAAAGCTAAAAACAATTCAAACATACACAAATAAGAAAAAGTAATTACAACTAAAAGCTAAAAGCTTTTAAGAAAATAAAATAAATTAAATAAAAATGACAAATGCATACAACAACATTTCAAAACTAAAACATTTAAATGAAAACAAAAAAATAAAGCTAAAAACAATTCAAAAATATTAAAAGAACAAAAGGTATGAGTATAATAATGATTCTAACATAACACTAAGCCAAACACCAAAAAACAATTACATATGTGTATGTACAGCCACACACGTCACGTTATACGGTCTTTTTCACTTCCAAAAACGGTATACTACCGTAAAATTAATGTCCAATACATGTAATGTCCAATACAGTTTTTCACCGTATATAGTAGGGGAATTTACCGTTAACCATTTAACAGGTTTTTACTGTAGCATTTTTACAGTCTTTTACCGTTAAATTCACGGTCATTTTTTACAGTGAAGGGCAAGAGGAGCTTGTAGGTAAAGTTCAGCCACTGCCCCAATTAAGAACTGAACATTTTTTATGTTTTTTTTTTAATTAAAGTAAACATGCACTGTAATAAAAAAATGATTGCATTAATTAGTTTTAAAAATATTTTTTCATATTAACTTTTCAATGAATTTTAAAAACATGTTAAATGGTTAATAGCAAACTTTCCTCACTATATACAGTGAAAAACTGTAATAAATCTAACAGGACATTTCATATAGGCGTTTGTACAGTAAAATACTTTACAGCTTTTGTAAAGAAGTGAAGAACAAGTCATCATATAATTTACATTTTATAACTTTTATTTTCTATTTCTGTGCATGACTACACCTTGTGTGCATGTGTGCACCTTCTATATAGAATTTACCTCAGTTTGTAGAAAAGTTACTTTTGATAAACTTTATTCCACAAGTGGCTTTCTCATTACCACCTGTGTTTTTGGTGCTTGTCAGTGTGTTAAAAAGGTACAAAACAAATTTTAGTACTTCGGTAGTTTGATGTATTTACATAACAGTATATAAGTAAATAGTCATCTAGTAATTAATTATTCATCTCGGAACAACTGAATATAACAAGTGGCTGACCTTATAGTCCACTTTCCCCTGCAATGAAATGATTGTGAGAAAACAATGCAGTCAGTGTGCCCAATACCCATAGAAATCCTTGTCAAATCTCTTTTTCAAAAGCTTCAAGACACAACAGATAGAAGATAAGAAAGATGCATCTTGGATATGTGCATTTGAGAATGAAGGGCCAGACACTATAATTCCACACAAACATATGTGATGGTTTGGGTGTAAACATTTAAAATGACTTTATACAAGCAAAAACCCTTATGTATATACTGTATGTATTTATTTAAACATTTTACAACCATTACTTTCACACTAATGTTTCTCATCTATTAAACCTCATAATTAAAATTTTGTTTCAATGTTTCTGTAAATACACTTGCTATTAGATATAGCCATATAGTAGATGCATTATTGTATTACAATAAGACATAAACATATATTCCCATATTATATTAAAATAATTATTAAAACTAATATTAAGTAAACAAACACTTTCACTTACCTCGGTTTGTATTCTCTGCTTTTAATTCTGAAATGTTGTCCACCTCTTGATGCGTTGCGAACTCAATAAACTGATACCTTCAGCCAACACTAACTGATTCTACCTAACAATGGGAATGCTATGTGTTTCCATCACACAACTCTATCCCTTGTAACTGTTGAATTCGGTCTCGACTTCAAATGTAAAGAGGGGAGGGAAAAAAGAAGACCCGTCCCGACACGCCAGTGTAAAGGTAATCAGGTAAGAAGTCTGGAATCCACTCATAATGCATCCTTAGTGTAACTTATACTTGGGTTATTAAAATAAAATACAGATTTTGTTATAAAAATCATAACACAAAACTAGTCACAATATCAGAACAATATATAGTCAAAAAGAAAGGAGATTTTGGCTGGGTTGGAATGGCATTCAGTTATATTTCATACATTCCTCCTATTAAAAATAGTTACTATTTGCATCATTTAGGTGTACTTGTGTTGTTTAATAAGAAACATAGGTGTTATAGAGGTAAGGTGTTTAGTTTTCAATATTTTACACATCTCTTCCATATGGTGTTCTCCAGAAAAACACAACATGTTCTTATGAAACTGACATATTCCAAATTATCAACTGATACTGTCACGAATCCGGTCCATGGACTTTCATCCAATGAACACAAGAGGCCACTCTCTCACCATATTGACACTCACTCCACATAGACTGTCACACATTACTCTGGACTACATCTCCCATGCTCCACTGCACTGATTGCGCACTCACCTGCATCCAATAACACACACTATATAACACTCACTCTGATCCTGCTGTAGTCACCTTGTATTGTATGCATTTATCTCTCTCCAAGATAGCGACTCTACGGAGCCTGTCTAGTGTTCAGTTCCTAGTCATAATCTTGTCTTGCTTGTTTACTCGTGTTTTGATTCTTGCCTGTTTATTTTGAATAGCCCTTTCGTCTTACCATTCGGACAAAGAAGTAATTTAGTAAAAAAAGAAGTAATTTAAAGCAGTTTAACTTAATAACGCAACATAACAAAATGTGAAAAAAAATTAAGGGGTATGAAGACTTTCTATATAGGCACTGTACATGTTATACATACATCATTTTCTTGATTATTTTCTTAGCAATGCCCCATAGCAGTATATGAAGGCCTAAACTTTTCACTTAACAAACACTAACACTAAGTTACCTACATATCTAACTGTGAATTCTGTTTTTACTCTGTGTACTCTGTTTTTACTCTGTATATCTACTAGGTATACATAAAGTTTTGCAGTAGTGGGATATGATTGATTTGTAAGTTATTTGCAGTTATTTATATTATTAAGTGAATACAATATATACAGTAGCACATGACGTAATCAAAAATAGCTATCCTTTTGAACTAAGTTGTTAAATCTTTGGTTGGAAAATCAGTCTTAAGGCCCGTTCACACCAAGGACAATAAGAACTATAAAGATAACGATATTAGCGTCCACACCAGCGAACGATATCGTCTGTTTATTCTCAACACACTCGTCTGCCACTTTAAATTCTCGAGCTCGTTATAGCAGGATTGATTCCGATTGCATGTCAATGTTTTTTTTAATCGTTCATCAGCAGGAAAAAAAATCGTTCTGAAAGTGATTCCAACGATATCGTTTCTCTGTGCCTTTATCGTTATAGCTGTGGTGTGGACTCTGCTATTCTTTAATATTGAGAACGAGTTTTAGAACTATATCTTTATCGTTATCGTTCTTGGTGTGAACGGGGCTTTAGTCTGTGCATTATTATCTTGCACTGTTTGATAGATGTTGGGCTTTTGGTACACTGGGAAAAGAGGTTCTCATCTTCCATTTCCGACTAAAAAGTCACAGTAGTTGAAAGCACTGAAAGAGTCAGTATTTTGAACATCTGTTGAATGAGAGGAATCTGTCCCCATCTTGTGGATGTAACTTTGCACTACTGCAACTAGTTAATATTGACATTTTAAATCTGCAATAAAAATATGGACCTCAAATACTTGAAAAGCATACGGTCGAAAACACAATACTCTCCAATAAATAGCATCTAGTAATGAAGTAATCAAGAGGGACTGACCACTCAGGTTTGAGAATCAAACCCTTTCTATCTTTTAAAATTATTATTATAAATTAAAATTATGTTATACATTTTCTTGCAAACTTATTAATGGTCTTAAAAACTAAAAGTCACTGAAAGAACTAATTTCATGGGAAGAATTTATAACTCCCATAAGTCATTCAGTATATATCCTGAGAAAAAAAGCCCTATCATCCCTATTTTGCATGTATCTTAAAGAAAAACAACTGAATGAATGTAATGAAACGTATGATTTGTTAGCATTATGTCTCTACTGTATGAAGTTTTCCAAATCATAATTAAACTACATTGAAAGTGTAGTATTTCAAAGTAGTATTTCGCACAAAACCTCACAAGAGCAAATGATAGGTTGCAGTCACCATGTCACCTACTCTTCTGAGATTGGGATAATGACATGGGGCCGAGAGTGGATGTCGTGTGCTCAAGCAGTGCTTAAATTGTTCAAGAAAAACAATGAAAATCAATAACTTTGTTAGATCCACACAGTTACATAACGTAATAGTACAGGTTTGTATGCAATTTCTGATTGACTCATGGTGGTCTTATTAGTGTCTTACGACATGTCCCTAGAGAAAGTGCTATTTTATAGGATTTTGCAACCTCTGTGTGCTTCCATTTGAATACTGTCTATTCAGTGGTCTTGTTTCAGGACCTACATTTCACATTAAAAACTGTAAAATCAAAATTTGAAATTGAAACTCCATAGGCCCTAAAATTATGGGCAATTATTTACAAAGGAGGAATTTTAAAAAAGGCCATTTCTGAGAAATCCTCCGGATCCTCCCCGTCGCCCTGGCTCATCGGCTCTCCGTCTCCGCCTCGGGCTCCTCCACCACCTGCTCCGCTGCCGTTGGTCGGCCCCCTGGAGTCGTCGACCCTTCCTCCTCCATGGCTCCTCTCTCCGTCTACTCCACCGTGGGTCGCCATTATGGCTGTGGCCTGGGTCCGGCTTGGCTCCTCCTGCTCCAAGCCCCTCCTGTCTCCTCCCTGGCTCCTCCCTCCTTCGTCACCCCCATGGACTCTGTTCGTCGTCCTCCTCCCGGGGGCCCGTCCGGGCCCGTCCCCTCCGTAAACATAAAACCATGTCTGCATTTGTGATCGGAGAAATGCCAAACAAGTGCTACTCTACACTGCCCAAAACTCGCGTTTGAATCGAGTCATAACAACTGGCATTGTAGTATACTCTCCCAGGATCAGGAAACAGTCCTCCATAAAATGCGCTGGACACATCTGAATATTTGGGTTAAACTGTTCTGGAACAGTGTTGTAAATACAACTTAACCACTGATTTCTAGTCGTGTCCTCTTTTGGAAGGCCAAACAAAGTAGTTTCGCTTTCACAACAAAACAGCATCACACACCGCGGCCTTGAGTGAGCAGAGGCGGGCGGGCTTGAGAACGGCGCGGCCAGCGGATTAGACGAAGGAGCGTCCGGCGGGCTTGCGGCAACCACATGTGACGACCCCGGGCTGGACTCCGCTTCGTCCACGGTGAAAGCCGATCCGGCGATCGACAGCGCGAAGTTTATATATTTCCTCAGCGACCAGCACGAATCAGCTCCAGGCATGATTAAGCGGATATCATCCTCTTTTGGAAGGCCAACCAAAGTAGTTTCGCTTTCACAACGAAACACAGCGCCTTCACGACATGGCGGTG